TCATCCCCTTTTTTTTCTTTACTGGCTCTTTTTCTGATTTTAAAACTTCGTTTGCTGTGATAACCGGTATATTTTGTCCGATATTTTGTTGTTTAGATCTTTCTAGCTGTTTTTTAATTTCACGATTTATCTTATTTCCGAACTCATTTGCTATTACGGCATTTCTTAGGAGTCGATTATTATGTTTTTTTTGAGCTGTCGGGGTTTTTATTATTTTTAATTTTAGTTTGAATCCAGCACAGAACAGATTATATTAGTTGGATCAGATACTTTTAATTTCTGCGGTTTGGATCTCAGCTCTCATTGATATTACTGCCGAGATACACGAGTTTCTCTACTCTGTTCAGTGTGGCATCTCCGACTTTTATACCGTCATCCTGTATATAATTTTGTTTGCTACCTATCATATATTTAGTTTTCTTAACGTTGAGTTTTAATCCATACTGATCACAAGTCTGTTTTATTTTGTTCATTAGATTTTGAAGGTCTTCTCCGCAATTAGCAATCATTAAGGTATCGTCATAAGGGCAATGGAGAGAATAATGTTAGAGATTTCTCTACGTGATAGAATACCCAATGCTACCATACGCAAAAGATCAGGAGTAGCAGACGTTATTGAAATGATAACAACACTAAAGTGGAACTGGGCAGGTCATGTAGCAAGATCAGTTGATGACCGGTGGACAAAAAGAATTTTGGAATGGAGACCCCGAATACAAGCTAACAGAAATAGAGGTCTACCCCCAACGAGATGGACAGATGACATAAAAAGAATGACTATAAATTGGATTCAGATGGCGCAAAATCGGACTAAGTGTAAAAGCATGCGAGAGGCCTATGTTCAGCAGTGGACGTTAGAGGCTAGTTGATGATGATGAAGGTATCGTCGGCATATCTAATATTTTTGACGGTTATTCCATTCACAATAATACCTTTGGTTGTCTCCATTAAGGCTTCCTTAAATATTTCCTCCGAATATAAGTTAAAATGTAAAGGCGACAATATACCGCCTTGTCTCACTCCTCTTTTTATATTTATTTCATCCGACAGTTCATGTTCAACCTTTATTCTTGCCACTTGATGCCAGTATAGATTTGTAATTATTCGTAGATCTTTATCGTCCAATCCAGCTGTTTAAAATAGAATATGTAACTAATTTTCTGCAAACAAAAACTACTCGAATTCAGTAGCCTCCATGACTGAATTAGTATGGTTTTGTAATATCGCTGGCGGGACGATATAGATTACAGCAAGCAATTAAGAAGGTACAGTTAATGAAAGAAGAGACTAGAACACGAGTGAAAAAGAAAAGAAGAGAGAAGAAGAATAAAATATATAACTATCTTTTGTCTGTTTGACATTTACGTTGTTTTTTTAAATGTAAAAATTAGGATCAATATGATAAAGTTAAAATCATATTCCTGAAAGTACACTAATGATAAGAATTAGAAGAAAAATATTTAGGGCAAAAACTGTGTTTTTTTATTATTATAGTAAATTTTAACTATGTATGTAAGTTTTAATTAATTTGAATGAATGTGCTGGTCTGACTATCTGTCTTTACTTTATATTTTATAATTGGCATAATAGATTTGTTTTTAGTAAAGAGAAAGACAAAAACCAAACCATAATAACTGGATTATTGCTTTTATAACAACATGCAGGATGTTCAAATCAAAAATAATTATAACATAGATATATAATTAATAATATTATTCACATTTAACCTCTCCAATTTTGAAGACCATATCTAAATGTTTCAACTAATATGAGGAAATATTATGAGGAAATTACAATGGGAATAACGGGGTATTTATATAAATGTCCAATACTTGCATTACTTGAGATATGCAGATGACATTGTATTAATAACAGATTCTTCTTCTTCAAGTTCCACTCCTATCGGAGATTGGAAATCATTCTGGCAATTATAATTTTATTGGTTATTCGCCTGAATAGTTCAATTGAACTGCATCCAAACCATTCACGGAGATTGCGTATCCACGAGATTTTACGTCTTCCTACGGTTCTTCTACCTTTGATTTTACCCTGCATTATATTCCTTAGTAGTTCGTACTTTTCACCTCTCATTATATGCCCCAAGTATTCCAATTTCCTGATTTTTATGGAATTTAAAACTTCGCATTGTTTTCCTAGTTGTTCGAGAACTTGTTCGTTTGTTTTGCGATCCATCCATGATATTTTCAAAATACGTCGGTAACACCACATTTCGTATGCTTCTAGGTTTTTAATGTTGGATTTTTTAAGTGTCCAAGCTTCAACTCCATACAAAAGGGTAGAGAAAATATAACATCCAAGCATTCTTATTCGGAGCGATATATTGATATCGCGATTACAAAAAAGTTTTCTCATTCTATTAAAAGTTGACCGCGCAATTTCAATGCGGCATCTTATTTCTTTTGTCTGATCAGTATCTTCTATGATCCATGCTCCAAGGTATTTGTACGAAGATATTTGTTCAATTTCTGTATTATTTAGTACTAGCTTAACTTTGATGTTTTGTGCTTTTGTAGATACCATGAACTTGGTTTTCTTCAAATTGATTTTTAGTCCATAATCGTTGCAATATATATTTAGTTGTTCAGCAAGGTGTTGCTGCCAGAAGGACGGTGTCGTCAGCATATCTTATGTTATTAAGTGGCTCACCGTTTATTATAAGGCCCTCACCGATCTCGGCAAGCGGTAATTCTGAGATGGCTTCACTGTATAAATTGAATAACAAGGGTGATAAAATACACCCTTGGCGGACCCCACGGCGAATCTGGATATCCTTGGTCAGTTCGTTTTCAACTTTCACTTTTGCTGTTTGAGTCCAATAGAGGTTACAGATTATTCTAATGTCTCTACTGTCTATGTTTTTATTTAATAAAATTTCTTTAAGTCGATTATGCTGCACTCTGTCAAATGCCTTCTCAAAATAAATGAAACAGGCATATACTTCCTGATTAATATCTAAGCATCTCTGCGAAAGAACACTTAATGCAAACAGTGCATCTCGTGTTCCCAGTCCTTTCCTAAATCCCATTTGTGTATTACCGTTGATTGAATAATCCAACGGTATTACTTATGCCTTCATCTAATTTCTTATGTATTCTATTGTGAATTACTTTTAAAAACAATTTCAAGACATGACTCATTAAGGCTATGGTGCGATGTTCATTGCACTCCTTTGCATTGGCTATTTTGGGAAGCAGTATGAATGTTGATTGGAGCGATTCTTTAGGTATTATACCTGTTCTATATATGGTATTGAATAGATCCAAAACAAGATCAATAGATTCAGTATTCACAATTTTAAGTAACTCGATAGGAACTTCATCAGCCTCGAGAGATTTATCACCTTTAGCTTGTTTCATTGCATATTCAATTTCTTCTCGTATAATTTCAGGCCCAGTATCATCCTTAAATTCTTTTGGTGCTTCTGTTCTCTCTTTGTCTTCAAAAAGTTGTGCTATATATTGTGTCCATCTCTGCATTTTTTGGTTTATATCTGTTATAAGTGCACCCCTTTCATCTCTTAGTTGCCTAGTTTGAAGTGTTTTTCTCATTCCTGTTAATTCTCTAATTCTTTTATGCATGTTAAAAAAGTCATATTTTTTCTCAATTTCTTCTAGTTCTTGGCACTGCTCATGTAACATTTTTCTCCTTAGCTTCTTTTATTCTCTTTTTTATTAATCGATCAGTTTCATTATATTTAATTGGATTTTTTGTTTTGAATGATTTTCTTTCATTCATTAATAGTAGTATTTCTTCAGTCACCCAATCTTTATGTTTTCTATTCTTTGGTTTTAAGTTTTCATTTGCTGTTTTAATTATTGCTACTTTTATATTTTCCCATTTCTGATCAATGTTATAGCTACTTTTATTCAGTTCTTGGGCATTACGTAGATTTTCAGTAAGAGTTTTTACAGTTTGTTCCTTTGTTTGTGGTTCCCATAATCTCTTAATATCAATTCTACTTTTTGTGGGTTTTTTAACCAGTTTTAATTTGGTTCGTAATGTGACTACTATGGGAATATGGGAATAAAAACAGATAAAAGGGAAGAATTACAAAATTAGATTGATGAATTAAATAGTGAATCAACAAAAATAGGCCTACAAATGAATTATAATAAAACGAAAATTCTGACCAACCAACCAGAAGAATTATTAATTACAATTTCACAAACAACTATAGAACAAGTAAAAGAATATATATATTTGGGACAACTAGTTAATTTAAATAAAGAAAATCAGACCGGAGAAATAAAGAGGAGGATACGGTTGGCTTGGGTATCCTTCGGAAAACTTTCCTATATACATACTAAAAATAGAAAATACCCCCAATATTTAAAAACAAGAGTCTTAAACCAATGTATACTTCCTGTTCTCACCTACGGTTCTCAAACTTAAACGTTTACAAAGGAAAACATAGAAAAAATAGCAAAGACTCAAAGAGCAGTGGAAAGGCAAATGCTGAACATCAGGCTACCAGACAAGAAAAGAAATACTTGGATCCGCAACAAAACAAAAGTGACCTATGTATCAACGAAGATAGCAAAACTTAAGTGGAAGTTCGCTAGACATACCATAAGACAAAAAGACGACAGATGGAATAAGATGATTATACACTGGAGACTATATAGTTACAAACGAAAAAGAGGAAGGCCACAAATGAAATGGTTAGATGACTTGAAGAAACACGCAGGCCCAAAGTGGATACAAACTGCCTACAATAAAGAGACGTGGAAGAAAAGGAAGAGGAGGCCTATGTCCAAAATTGGACAGCAAGGGCTGTATAAAAAGATAGATAGATAGATAGAAGACAATTCTAATTTACTCTCCAAATTGTGAACATTCACTAGTAGATAGTAGGTTTTTTTAAATCCATATACAAATATTTCTGTAGCGTTCCATTTAAATGTTTTGACCAGAACATCCTGCATTTTTTAATCTTACACAATGGACATTTTAGCACTCTTTAGCAGTTAACTCTAACACTACCTTACAAATTTAATAATTATCAACAAAATAACAAATATCACAGACGCGTTGTTCGAATATGTCCCGTTACTAAGAGCACTAGCATGACAGCTCATGTCCTCAGGTTCCAGATCCACTATGGGTATCCTAGTCCCGGTAACGGAGTCGATACATGTGGACTCTTTAATTACTTCGTTCATTTTGATCACTGCTTCTATGGGAGAATTGTGAGACTGAAGGCTCTCCCTCGTCCATCGCCGTAACCAGTGGCTCAGCCAGGATAGGTGGCAACCGCAACGGAATGGGTTGTTGGATAGAAAAAGGCCACCTGTAATACAAAAACTTATGTTAAAATATCGATTATTGATTATAGTATCAAGTAGCACATGCTTAGGGTAAAACGTCAGTTATTGGACACGAGACAGTTATTGGACATTACAGTGTTAACTTACGATTATAAGATTTCTGCAAGTGCAAACACGAGTATATTTCACTAGATGGCACTACTCGTTTCTATATTACGTACATTCTTATGTCTATCTTCTGCCTTTAACGGGTTCTGTGATTTTGGCGGTAAATATTTTTAGGTTATGTGAGTGAAGTGACATTTAAGCATTATGTTAAGGATCTGCTCTGACTCTTTTTTTCAAAACTACGTGTTATTTTTAAGGTAAGATTATATTTTTATTTAAAGGGTGTAGTAAAGGAACTTATAGTCGCTAAGGTATATCGCTTACAGTAATAGGGATTTTAATTCGGATTTAATTACGCCTATCCAATAAATAAACTAGAAAACTTGCTGAATTCTATTATAGGACAACTGTCCAATCACTAGATAACTATACTAACCACATATTTCTACAATTTTCAACGGGTTTACGTATAAATAACTGGATATAGCAGTAAAATTAATTTAGTAATCGATTTGACAGATATTGGACAGCTGTCCAATAACTAAATTTGACCGTCCAATCACTAAATTGATTTTTTAGGATTGTAGTAAAATGCCTAATCTTAAAATACGATAAGATTAAACTTATAGAAGCTGTTAAGGATGTCCAAAATGGCACTGAATCGTATAGAACAGCTGAAAAAAATATAGCATTCCAAAGTCCACTATAGAATTTAAATTAAAACATCCGGAACATAAAGATACACTTGGACCGTCTCCTATTTTTGCGAGGAGGAGAATACGCTGGTTAGGCACGTTCATTAAATTGATCTTAATCCATAACATTATTTGATTTTACATTCAATATTCCAGATGGATACAAGAAACCGCCTCAAAAGGTTTCCCCAAAAAGGCTAACGATTTAAAAAGCAAAAAATTTTTATCCGAAAATTCGCGCCCCAATAACTTTAGACCTTTAACTTTAAGATAATCGACCTGGAGATGGACGGTTAAAAGTAAGTCACCAAAAAAATGTATTTTAATTTGTATTTATCGTTTGGTTTTTTTAGCGATTTTTTTTCGATAGAAGGAGACATCAAAAACTGGTTTAAAAATATTGAAAACTATTTTAAAGAAAAACATCTAGAAGAAGTTCTAACTGATTCATCAAGAATTTTTAATGGAGATGAGTCAGGATTTCAAATATGTTCATCTACTGGAAAAGTATTTGCTATGAAAGGTTCAAAAAATAAAGTTACTAAAGGCATTAATCCTAAATGGGGTGTGGGCAGAAGCGATAAGAGTTGGATGACGGCAGAGATATTCTATCAGTATATTGCTAATCCACAAGGAAAAATTCCTGTAGCTGGCTGTATACCACGTATAACAAAAAGAGGTTAATCTTTGTAAATGGGTATATTTATTTAAAAAACCCTTAAAAGGGCCACATCAATAGAACAAACGTTTTCGGACTAAACAGTCCATCATCAGGTTATTAAAATCGAAAATGCCTAAAAATAAGTATAAACCATTTAGTTAAAACAAACGAGATTTTGAAATTTTGACTAAGGTTGAAAAGCAAAAGATGGTTATACTTACTAGGTCATAATGCCTGAGCCACCAAAATATTAGGGTAAAAACCCTTTAAATTACATTTAGTTATGAAATGTTGTACATTGTGTTATAAAATAACTGTGATGTTCTATATTAAATTAAATTTGACCAAAGGTAACACATGGCTCAAATGGGTTCCAGAGCCGGGCGAGAGACAACCTCTGCACTCGGAGAACAACGTGGAACTGATTGACAAGATACTTTTGAAGGATGAAGATAACAGAATGTCAATGCAACAAAAACTATAAAAGTTGTACATAGTATTACTACAGCCAAAAGATTCAACAAGTTTTGATGATTTTAAAAATAACAACAATATAGGTGTTGGGATTTAAAAACTTTTTATTTATTAATTTAGGGTATAAAAGATGTCAAATCAATGATGGTTTTATAGTCATGATTAATATAATGACCTGTGCCTTAGGCAACTTATGTTGCTTTTCGTCGTATGGAATGTGGTCTAAAGTGTATTTAATTTTTGGGTTAGCTTGTATTTGTGAAATTTATCCTTTTATGTTTAACACATCTAGGACAAGGTAAAAATTAAATAACAAATATTTGAAGCTAATATAAGACCTCATGTTTAAATGACTTTATTTAGGAATGCTCCTATGGTGAAGAATTAATAAAATTAAGTTTAGTAAGATGGAAATCTACAGGCTGAAGAAATTGAAGTAGTAACATATGTGATTGAATTTAAAATCGAAGAGACTGGGTTCCTCAGAGACTGATGAGAATGAAAGTAAAAGAAATGAAAGGAGGGGGGGGGTTGAAGGAGAAAAGGAGTTGATCAACAATTAGATATAATAGGGGTCCTTTATACTTAAAGTATCTAGCACCCTGAACAAAATCTATTTAGGTGGTATTAAATTCAGTTTGTAGAAACCTGAAATTTGTTGTATAAGTGTGCTACTAAGTTGTTGACCGAAAGAAGGTGGACAAAGGTAGATTAGGATTCTATGTAATATGGTAGATTATGAATTTTAATAAATTGTTAGATAATGTTTAAGTGATTACTAAATTAAAACTATTGGATACATGTTTAATATATGAATTGACCAAGAAATAATGAAAGAGAACAAAATTAACAGGAAAACGATGTAGAAGTGAAGAGTGAAGTGAGTGAAGAGATAAGATAGTGAAATGTTGGTATGGTGGATGTGGATGGTTCTGAAGTTAAAATTGGGGTCAGAAATTTGTGAGAGGAAGGTGTGACGATATTGTATAAAAAGGGGTGTTTGAAGAACCACAAGATTATGTAGGAATAAGGTGTTGACGTTTGTATAGGAAAATAAGGCAAAGAAAATAGGACAGTATTGTGAAGTGTGGACTATGAAAAAAGTTGACGATGTAAAGGTTGAAAGTCACGGTTGAAAGATACATGGCGATTAACACAATTGGGGCTTTTTTGTTTTTCTTTGACTATTTCCAAGTCTTCATATAGGTCTAATTTTAGAAAATTTTTTTGGGGAATATTATGTAACAAAGAGACGTCTTCTGGGATGTTGAGGGTATGTTTATGTTGTGCAAGATGTTGAGAGAAGGTGGAAGTGTTCTCTTTTTTAGTGTGTTCTAAGGAACGAGAAGTTAGTGATCTACAGGTTCTACCTATATATGTAGCATCACAATCAGAGCACTGTAATTTATAAACGCCACTACGATCCATGTAGTTGATGGGATCTTTTGTATTAGTTAAGCATTGTCCTAGATTGTTCGGGACTTTGAAAGAAATGTGGGTATTCTCAACAGATCTTTTTAGGATGTATCTAAGATCTCCAGAAAGACGTTCTTGAAGGTAAGGCAAAGAAAAATACTGAGTTTTGATGGTCAAGTCTCTGGGAAACGCAGTCTCTCTCAATAGTTTGAGTTGTCTCTTATTTATAAGTTTGTTAATGATGTTGGGGTCATATCCATTATTGAATGCTATTTGTTTAAGGGTGTTAACTTCTGTATGATAATTGGATTGTGATAGTGGAATTGTTAATAATCGGTGAATGTAACTATGGAATGCTGCATATTTGTGTGACATTGGGTGGTTGGAAAACAAAGGTATGATATGGTCAGTTTGTGTTGGTTTCCTATAGATACTGAAATCGAAGTGGTCGTTTAATCTGGTGATGGTAAGGTCAAGAAAATTAATAGATTGAGATGATTCTAGTTCCATAGTGAACTTAATGTTTGGGTGGATTTGGTTTAATTTAGAGAGTAATAGATCAGCTGAATTTGAGTTACCTGATATGAAGACTAAGCAGTCATCAACATATCGAAACCAATGGAGAATTTCAGGATTTTTCATAATGTGTGTGGATCACTTAGAATCCACACACATTATGAAAAATCTCAATCAGTTCCACGTTGTTCTCCGAGTGCAGAGGTTGTCTCTCGCCCGCTCTGGAACCCATTTGAGCCATGTGTTACCTTTGGTCAAATTTAATTTAATATAGAACATCACAGTTATTTTATAACACAATGTACAACATTTCATAACTAAATGTAATTTAAAGGGTTTTTACCCTAATATTTTGGTGGCTCAGGCATTATGACCTAGTAAGTATAACCATCTTTTGCTTTTCAACCTTAGTCAAAATTTCAAAATCTCGTTTGTTTTAACTAAATGGTTTATACTTATTTTTAGGCATTTTCGATTTTAATAACCTGATGATGGACTGTTTAGTCCGAAAACGTTTGTTCTATTGATGTGGCCCTTTTAAGGGTTTTTTAAATAAATATACCCATTTACAAAGATTAACCTCTTTTTTTTTTTTTTTTTTTTTTTTTTTTTTATATTGCTAATGTTTTTTACTCCCACCTAATTGAAAATAATATTAAGCTTCCAGTTATTTTTTTTTGTAGATGGGCACAAGAGTCATTTGAGTTACTAGTTAAGTCTATTGTTTAATGAACTGCAGATTGAAGTAATTGGACTTTATTCTAACGCCACAAGGATTTTACAACCATGTGACGTTTCTATTTTCCGTCCACTGAAATAAGCTTGGCGGCAGTCAGCAAGAGAATGGGAAGAACAGCATCCATGAGAGGTAGTGAATAAGGTTGTATTTGCTTCTATATTAGAGCAAGCTACAAAAAAAGCTGTAAAATTGAAACAGTTGTAAATGGTTTCAAGGTTTGGGGATTGTTTCCATTTAAAGCAGATGCTATTGACTACACAAAATGTTTAGGTAAAGAAATAGAAAAAAAATTAATCATTTCAGATCATCAAAAGAAACCCAAGATGGACTATACTTTTGTAAATATCTTAGGTCCTAAAAAAGTTCATAGCTTAGAGAATTTAAAAGAAAATCCAAAGAATAATCTACATAGCGACGATAATTTGAATTTGTTGTTCAAAATTTGGAATTTTTTTGAACATGATCCAAAACATTCGGATAACCCAATAATGTTATTCAAACATTAATATTATTCAAAATGTAGTTCACATGTCCCTTAAACAATACTGAGCTAAAATATCAGAACAAAGTGGTATTGAAAATGTAAATATTTCTGAGAGTAGTAGTACCAATGATATCCATATACAATATATGAACCATACATACCAATGATATCCATAACAATATAAAATTAATGTTTATGAATTACCCTCTACAAGTAAAATTATTGTTAAATACGAATTGTTGGGTAATTTTTTAACTTCTCCTACTGTACCAGAAAGAAAAAAATAACGTAACACGGAACGACTTCCTTTTGCTATTACATCTGCACGATATCAAGAAATGTTACGAAAAAATGAGGAATTAAAAGAAGAGCAGGAAAAACAAAAACAATAAAATAAAAGAAAAAGGGAAGACAAATTAACCAAAAATCAGTGTAGCAACAAAAAGGTTTAAAAAAAGTCAAATGTTCTATTTGTTCAAATGATATTCAATTTCTTCTTCTTCTTTTGGCATCATAACCCTGGATGGGTCTTTGCCTGACTGGCTATGTCCTTCCATTCAGATCTCTCTTGTTCCCTTCTTCTCCATTGTCTTATGTTCATTGTTTTCAGGTCGTCTTCCACGTCATCCAACCATCTCGTTCTAGGACTTCCTTTTTTTCGCCTTCCTATGGGCTTCCATTGTAACATTTTCTTTGTTGTTTTTGCATCGTTTTGTCTCTGCATATGTCCCAGCCATGACAGTCTTTGACTTTTTACAAATCTTACAATGTCATAACCTTCATTTAACTCATTAATCTCGTCGTTTCTCCTGATGCTTCATGTGCCATCTTCCTCTTGTATCGGGCCATATACTTTCCTCAGTATTTTTCTCTCGAATGTCCTTAGTTGGGCTTCATCTTTTTTCGTCATTACCCAAGTCTCACAACCATAGGTTACTATGGGTCTAATCAGTGATCTGTAGATAGTCATTTTGGTTCTTTTGTCTAATAATTTCGATGTCATCAATCTTTTATTAGCATAGTATGTACGATTCCCGCTGGAAATACGTGCATTAATTTCGCTACTTACGGAGTTCTTCTGATTGATTTCTGTGCCGAGATATGTAAAGGCATCCACTCGATCGATAGTATAGTTGTCTATTGTGATATTATTTTCATTGTCAGTTATTCTTTTGACTGTCATATACTTCGTTTTTGTTTCGTTTATTTTGAGACCTCTTTTTCTAACTTCAGGATGAATCTGTTTGAACACTTCCATAAGTTGTGACTTATTCCTACTAATGATGGCTACATCATCTGCATATGCAGTCATTTGTACTGATTTGGTGTTTATATGGCCGGTTATATTGGTTTTTCTGATGACTGCCTCTCTCATCTTCCTGTCTTACTCCCATGTTGATGTTAAACAGGGGAGTCAGTTCTCCATCTACTCTGACTGCGGATTTTGAATCCTGCGACGGGTTTTTTATGAGGCTGATGTATTTTTTAGGTATACCTAGATTACAAAGGTCTTCCAGCATTCTGTCTCTTTTCGCACTATCAAAAGCTTGTTTAAAGTCTATATACAAATTATATAGGTCTATGTCGTATTCATAAGCTTTTTCTTGTATCGTTCTTAGTATGAATATGTTATCTGTAGTGGCTCTATTTGGTCTGAATCCATTTTGTTAATCACCAATTATATTTTCGGAGTATTCTAATAATCTATTGTAGATTATACCAGAAAGAATTTTGTATATTACATTTAGCAATGTAGTTGACCTATAATTCTGGCATTCCCTCTTATCTCCTTTTTTATATATTGGCTGTATGAGGCCAACTGTCCATTCCTTTGGCATTTGCTCCTTCGTCCATATTAATATTATTAGGTAATGGATTCTTTCCCAGAGTTCGGATCCTCCATGCTTTAATAATTCTGCCGAAATTCCGTCCGTTCCTGGTGCTTTATTGTTTTTTAGTTTATTTATTATCTGAACTACTTCTTCATAACTCGGATTTTCGATGTGCAGCTCCGCTGTATAATATATTGTCTCGTTCTGATCCTTTTCGTTGTCTGCATTTAGATTTTCTTCGACATATTGTTTCCATCTCATTATAATTTTTTGCTTCTCTGTTAGTAGTTCTCCGTCCTTGTCGGAGGATGACTGTGTGCTTTCTTTTATGCATTTATAGAATTTTCTGCATTCGCGTTTGTTGTTATGCTTTACGATTTCTTGTACTTGTTTTTTTCATAGCCTCTCTTTTCTTTCTTCTGCATATTCTAGTCGCTTGTATTCTTTTCTCGTTATAAATCTCACTGCTATTTCTTGTGTTTCTTTGAAGTTGGTTAAGCCTAGCTTGCCTTTTTTCCTCTACTGCAGTTTTGCATTCATCATCATACCATTCCGCATTTCTTTGTTTTTTGGTTTTTCCGACAGTTTCCTCTGCTGAGTCCGTTATAATTGTTTTTAATTGTTTCCATACATCCTCTGCAGTATATTCCTCTGTAGTTCGGTTGAGTTTTATTTGGAGAGCATTTCTGTAATCTTGTCTCTTTGTTGCGCTTTTGAATCCTTCGACATTACATTTTTTGATATGAATATTTTTCCCTTTTGCTACTGTCGCTATTTTCTGCCGTAATTTTGCCCCTACAAGATAGTGATCTGAGTCAGAGTTCGCCCCGCGATACGTTCTGATATTAGTTATGTCTCTAGCCCATCTTTTTGAGATGAGTATATTGTCAATTTGATTGGCTTCGTTAATTCCTGGTATTTTCCATGTTCCTTTATGGATATCTTTTCTCTGGAAGTTAGTACTGATAACTACGTAATTATTTGCTGCTGCGAACTGTGCCACCCTGAGTCCATTTTTACTGGTTTCAGTGTGCAAACTGTGTTTCCCAAATATATTTGCAAACGTTTCTTCTTTCCCCAGTTTAGCATTAAAATCGCCTAACGTTATAACAGCATTATGTCTTTGGATTTTATCACATACATCCTGTAGTTCTCCGTAGAATCTTTCAACGTCTTCTTCATCAGCCTCTTCCGTCGGTGCACATACATTAACCATTGTCACGTTATGAAATTTACCTTTATTTCTTATGGTGCAAATTCTATCTGATATTGGTGTAAATGCGATAATGGCTTTCCGCAGTTTTTTGGTTTCCTCTAACTGAATAAACTATCCAATAACTATAATATTTGTAACCATTTTTAATAAATATATATTGACAAAAAGATTTAACACTTTCTTTAAATCGTTTTAGCCATATTGTAATAAACTGTTTAGACTACGTTTTGTATAAATTTTAATTAAATCTGCAAAGAACAATGTGAATTAAGAATTTTTAAAGTTGATATTTTTTTAAGTGCCCAATAACTCTATGGTTTACCCTACTTAGTCAAGGAGTGCTAAAAAACAGTTGATAACAAAGGATCGCGGTCTTATGTATGGATAAAGAGAGGGATAAGAGGTAAAGAGAGTAATGGTATATCTTACCTGATATTAAAGTTGTTCCAACATTCTTCCACCTACTCGAGTTTCCATAGAAAATCTCCGGATGTAAGTGAGTCAGCATGTTATTCCGAAGATCCAGCGTCAAATGAGCTATCTTAAACATATTCGAAAATAACCCAGAGGGCAATTCTTCTATTTGAGTTCCATGGAGTTTAATCGTTAGTTCAGGATTCTTTGTAAACCTAGCAAATGCGTCTTTATTAACAACTTTCAAATTTCTTCCCGTCAGTTCTAACAATCTAATTTTCCTGTTTGTTATACATAATAATTGGTCAGTCAATTCTGGTTCTACAACTAGTATTCTTAAAACCCGTAATTGGTCGATGTTTGAAAGCATTTGGCACAACTTTTCAGAAAAGTTTTCGATTTTAGGCCATGTTTGCATTGAGAGTTTTGATAAGATCTTTAGCTGTGTAATAGCTTCACTTTCAAACCTACTCAAATAATTTAGATGTTGTATATTCAGTTCCTGTAGATTTTGCAAGTTTACAAAATTATCAAACAACAGTTCTTTGATAGGATTGTATGACAGTTCTAGAGTTTTTAGGTTAGGAAGATGGATCCAAAGCTGAGAAGGAACTTGTAGTAAATTATTGTGACTCAAATCTAGAGATTTTAGATTTGATAACTGTTGTACAGAGTTTTTGTTGATTGCTTCAATACTGTTGTAGGAGAGGTTTAGCGATATTAGATCTGGCAGGGGAAAATGTGGCGTAGCAATCATGCCTGTGTTAGCTAAATTTAAAAACTTTAAACCTTGAGCATAATGAAACAATTCCTTAAAGTTTGACCTGAGTGGGTTAAAACTTAGGTCTAATGTTTGGAGAAGTCCTAAACTAGTAAATACATTATCAGGTAAAATAGTTAGTTTGTTGTTTCCTAGATCTAAATGCTGTAATAGCGGTATATCTGGAAATGTTGTTATATCGATGTGTTCAATGTTGTTGGACCTCATGGAGAAGTGCCTTAAAGATATGCCGATGTCTGACAGACTTGTACTAGGCACAACTGAAAACAAATTAAAACTGAGATCTAGCATTTCGATGTGAGTACTTTTAAAGATCTCTTTCGGTAGGTAACTTAAATGGTTTCCACTAAGATTTAGTATCCTCAATTTTGACATATTGGCGAATTGTCCTATGTGCAGTTGGTTAATAAAGTTTTTCGATAAATCCAAAGATTGGAGGTTTTGTAATCCAAAAAATGCTTTCTTTTTCACACTTTTTATGTTGTTCTGTTGCAATCCTAAATATTCTAAAGAGGTCAAGTGCATAAAAACGCTATGATCTAAATTATTTACTATATTAAAATCCAAATAAAGTTTTCTTAAAGCGGAAGTTTTTTCGATACAGCCGGGAATTTTATCTAAATTGTTATATCTCAAGTCGAAAACTTGTATATTTAAAACTCTAGAATCTGAAACGCAGGAAACAATTTGGTTTCTGCTGAAATTCAAGTGCAGTGCTCCAGAAATATTCGTGAAAAACGTAAAAGACACTTCAGACAACAAGTTATTGTAAAAATCGATCTTCCCAACGCCCTGCAAATTCGTGAAAGCATCACGGCTAATATCGCTCAACCTGTTATGCGAAAGAATGACCGTATTGAGTTTTGGCAGGTCGGAGAACGATTGCTTCTCGATGTTCCTAATCTTGTTGTTGGATAACAGGACAGTTTCCAAATTAGGTAATGCTCTAAACGTGCCAGTCTCGATAACCGTCAGCTCGTTGTCTGAAAAGCGGATGTCCTGAAGCTTGGAGTGAACGTTCGCCTTAAGGAACGTTTTCGGGATCGCTCTAATCTTATTAGACTCCAAATTGAGGTACATTAGCTCCGGCAATAAAAAAGACGACGGATAAATCGAAACAATATTATTGTGGTCCAGCGATAGACCTTTTAGGCTGATCATGGGGTCAAAAATTTCGTAGTTTAGTTCGTTTTCCTCGAATCCGAAAGATAATTCGAAACTTTCCAACTTTGTTAAGCCAGTAAAAGTGTCTTTTTCTATAAATCTAAGAGGGTTAAAACTCAAACTTAACTCGTTAAGTTCTTCCATACCATCAAAAACGTTATTTGTTAGCTTTATTAACCGATTATTGGATAAAACTAGGCTTTTAATAGTCGATCCCCAATTTTGGAACGCACCTTCATCAATTTCAACTATTTCATTAAAAGCGATGTTGAAGTGTGAAAGTTTGGTACAGTTTTGTAAAGCTGTTGATGGGATTTCAATTAGCTGATTTCCACTCAAACTTAACGCTCTTAAACTTGGCGCAAAATTATCAAAAGCTGTTGGATCAATATCTTTCAGTAAATTCGAAGAAATATATAGATATTTCAATCCTTTTAATCTTCGAATTCCTCCAGGAATACGTTGCAAATTGTTGTGGTCAAGATCCAAGTATTCCAGGGAACTTAAAATACCGTTAAAAGCATCGTAGTCCATTTTTTCGATAGAATTATACGATAAAATAATTCTTCCTGTATTTAGGCCGGAGAAACAATTATCCGTTAACATTCTAAAGTCGTTAAACGCCAAATTAATATCTCTTATATTGAGAGAATTGTTAAAGAGATAAGCCGGCAGTGTACTTATGAAATTTTCAGCTAAATCTATCTTCTCCAAGTATAACATCGTCGGTAAAGTGTACTGCGGTATCAATTTTATGTGGTTCCCTCGTAGGTACAGCCATTGCAGATACGGGGAGGTCGCTATAAGTTCGATCGGAAACACGTGCAACAAGTTGTAGGAAAGACTTGCGGTTTTCAAGCAAATAGGTAATGAGTGTTTATGTATTTCGAATATTCGGTTTCCGTCCAAGTTTAACCAAATCAGAGATTTGAATTGTCGTAAACTTTGTTGGCTCTGTTTTACTCCGTTGTGGTTTGTTGTCTCGTTCGGTAGGATGGTTATGTCGTTCTCGCCCAGGAAAAGGGTTGAGACTGAGGTTTTCATGTGCGACCACACACCGTTTATTGAAGATATTTGATTTCTGAAAAAAAAAAAATTATAAATCATTGGTTTAAAAATTAAGGCAGTTATATTTTTTATATTAGTATTTTTGGTGAATTTGTGGTTATTGTCCTTCAAAGAAAAACTCAAGTATAACATGCTTAAAAAGCAAAAAGCAAAGTTTAGAAAAAAGTTTAAAGGATTCAAAAATCATTGTGATTTGCTTGAGTTTCAACGGTTAAGACAACTTGTCAAATCAAAAATCAGTTTGGCATACAATGTAGTATCATATCACTGTTCCCGCACTTCCCCCCTAGGGAAGTGCGGGAACAGTGTTACAAAGGGAACAGTGTTACATTTGCTTTCTGTTCCACCTCTTGGTAGATAGGCGAACTACATGTATCGTAACCTCATTAAAGGTCGGATGCCTTCCATAAATCAGTTATCGTAGTTGAATACAAGTGTTTTGTAGTCACATATTTTCATAACAGTTTTTTACCTGTGAAAAGTAAAATTTTTAAGATCTAAGTGTATTAGTATATGGGTAAGTACGTTAGTATTTCATTAATTTTATATTATGGATGGAAAGTAAATATATTTCTATTGGATTTACACTTAAAACCATAACATATATTTCATTACCGCGCTAAAAATTTAGTTCTATGTGCATTGGCGTTCAAAAGTGAACAGTGTTACAGGGTACACTGTTACAAAAATTCTTGTAATACTGTACCCCTAGTAAAACAATTATTTATAAATTTCTTGATTACAAATTTATTTTAGTGAGAAAATGCCACGTAAAAGCAAAGGTGTAAGAACCCTCTTAAAAACCGATGAAAAGATTCTCAAAAAAGCTGTTATTGATGTGCTTCAAAATAAAATGAGCATTAGAGGAGCAGCGAAAAAATACAAATTATGTCACATGACGTTAAAACGTTACATAAATACATACAAAAATTCAGAAAATCCTCAATCAATAAAATTTGAACCAAATTACAAAATAAATCAAATTTTTTCCAAAGAGTTGGAAGGTGAACTCGAATCATATTTAATAACAGCAGGTAAAATACATCATGGTTTGGCCCGCAAAGATAACTTGGGACTAGCCTATCAATTGGCTGTAAGTAAATTGTTACAACAATTTAAATTTGTCTACTTGGAATTTTTATGTTTCAGGTTCGCAATGGCCTAAAAATCCCGAAAAGCTGGGATACTAAGAACTCAGCGGGAATAGACTGGTTAGTGGGATTTCGTAAGAGGCATCCCATATTGTCTCTCCGCAAACCTGAAGCAACAAGCTTATCAAGAGCCACTAGTTTTAATCGGACTAATGTAAATGCTTTCTTTGAAAATTTAATCAAAGTATATGGAAAATTTGGAGATAGCATATCCCCCGATTTGATATATAATTTGAATGAAACTGCAATCACCACGGTACATAATCCACCGAATGTGCTGTCTGCTAAAGGACAAAAACAAGTTGGCCAGGTAACATCAGGCGAGAGAGGAGTGCTGATTACCGCTTGTTGTATTATCAATGCTGTTGGAAACACTGTTCCACCATTTTTAGTTTTCCCAAGGGTACATTTCAAAAATCAAATGTTATTTGGTGCCCCTGCAGGCTCAAGTGGCAGTGCAACAAAGAGCGGTTGGATGAACGGGAAAATTGTTGTTGAGGTTCTGATCCATTTCCAAAGACATGTTAAGTGTTTAAAAGAAAACCCCGTGATACTAATTTTTGACAATCACGAATCGCATATCACAATTGGCTCTTTGGAATTTGCAAAACAAAGCGGGATAATTATGGTTACGTTGCCACCACATACAAGTGCGAAACTTCAACCTCTAGACAAAACTGTTTATAAAAAGCTTAAAATCCAATTATAATTCTGCTTGTAACGACTGGATGATCTGCAACCCTGGAAAAGTCATTTCCATCTATGATGTTGCTGCTCTATTTGGTAAAGCATTTCCTAAATCATTCTCTATCTCAAACATAGTCAATGGGTTTTCTTCGACAGGCATATGGCCTTATCGAAATATATTTACAGACGATGACTTTTTGTCATCCAGTGTGACAGACCGCTCTCTGGCTACAGCAACTTCATTGCAGACTTCAAACAGAGATGAACCTCAGCCTTCTACCTCGGCACAAGTTCTTTGTGACGTAGCATATGAGCATACATTACATGTAACAGATTCGAATCATGAGACTATAGTTTCAAAGTCTCTAACTAGTCCTTCCACTTCAACTCTTTCGCCTTCACCTCGCATTGTAATACCTTCATCTACCCCTCCTAGGAATATACAGCACCAACAAGAAGAGAGACCCTCTATGTCAAGTGTATTGGTCAAACAAACAACTTTAATTTCACCTGAACTCGTTAGACCCTTTAAAAAAGCCCCACCAAGGAAAACAAACATCACAGGAAGGAAAAAAGGAAAATCCATGGTTCTAACAGACACTCCTATTAAGGACGAATTAGTAAATGAATTATTGGAACGAAGTAGAAAGAAAGATGCCGAGAGTTCTGAGGAATCAGAAGGCGAAATTCCTTATACTGAAAGTAATCCTAGTAACAATTTGAAAGGCGAAGAAATGGAAATGGATTATTCATCAGTTTCAGTTGGCGATTATGTGCTTGTTGCTTGCTGAAGGGGAGCCTAAAAGTAATATTTTTTCGGTGGGTTTAGTCGAGGAGGAACTGGAGGAAGAATATGTGATTGTCTACATAAAGAGAATTAAACCTCTTTAAATTTGTAAAAACTGAACAATCCTACACTAAGGAATATATTATACACAAATTGCCACCACCAGTTGCTGCAGGTGGAACAAACCGGACATCTGAGATGCTGGTTTTTAATATCGATTTAATAAAATTTAAAAATTCACTTGAATAGGTTTTATCAAATTTACTTTTTCTCTATGTTGAATATCTTGATAATTTTGACATTTAGGCCTTATGTTCATAGTTTTAATTAACAATACATCTTTTCCTAATCATTTATGTATTTAATTTCTCCTTTCTCATGTTTTTTATGCCTTGTAACACTGTTCCATGTACATTGTAACACTGTACACTACCGCAGGGTACAGTGTTACAAATGACAAATTTTCAAAGTCATGCTATACTTTCATACCTTATTCTTGTAATGTTATAATACTTCATCAAAAAACACAGTAAACTATATACTATCATATAATGATAAAAATAAACTTAAAATATTCATGTCCATCAACTTTGTGACGAATTAAAAAAGTTGTAACACTGTTCCCGCACTTTCCCTATATATCAAGAATATCCAAATTGCTTTATCCATCAACCCAAGCACAGCCAAGGCATACAGCCAAGAAGTTTTGGCCGTACGTAAATTCGAAAAATAATAATTCTAGAATTCCTGGAATGATGAAATATAATGGCATTACTACCTCCGACCCACAATATATTGTGAATGTGTTTGCAGAATTTTTCAAGAATGTATTTCTGTCATTAGATATTAATTTCAAGGCAGTTTCTCAGGCTCTTCCTCAGTTAACGCAGATTACTTAAATTTTTATCCTATTTTAGAGTCTGAGATAATTTTTGCTAGTAAGAAATTGAAAGACAAAATGACGTGTGGACCTGATAATATTCCATCCTTTTTGGTTAAGGATTGCATAGGTGCCTTAACTATGCCACTGTTAAAATTTTTTAATTAATGTCTTCTTAACAAGGAATATCCGAGTCTCTGGAAGGAAAAGTGTGCCTAATATTCAAAACTGGTGAAAAGGGTCAGGTAGAAAACTACAGACCAATTTACATTATTTGCAATCTGTCGAAAGTCTTTGAAATAGTTTTGTATAATCGTATTTATTCACGCACTCGTAATCAGCTGTCTCAATATTAACATGATTTTGTCTCCAATCGGTTCACTGTGACAAACCTATTAATGGTCACACAATATATCTCAGCGGCCCTAGATAATAGAAGTCAAGTTGACGTCATATATACCGACTTTACGAAGGCGTTCGATAGAATTCACCACGGCGTATTACTTTCTAAATTGTCTCTTTAGTCTTTCTGAGGATGCCGTGACTTTTATGAGGTTTTACTTGTCAAATAGAACGTAGTTTGTTGCTTATAACGGTTACAAATCGGAAAAGTACCTAGCTTCTTCAGGGGTTCCACAAGGTTCTAATCTAGGTCCATTATTGTTCTTGATATTTATTAACAATCTGTGTGAATCAATTTCTGCACCATGTTTATGTTATGCCGATGATTTAAAGATTTATTCATTGATAAGCGACCTTAATAAGCGATAGTCATTTTCTCAGAGTTCAGAGTGAACTGAATTGTATGCATGAATGGTGTAATGCAAATCATTTGAATCTTAATGCCAATAAGTGCAAAGAAGGAAGTGAGGAGAGGTGGGGAGTACCTTTCCCCACTTCCTAAAGTACATCTTAGAGCCAAAGAGGTTTTGAATGTTTCCACAAGGTGCAGCAGAAGGATATCCACTCCCCACCGTAGTAGGGCTGAATATGTGCCGTCAGGCACTGGCGATTTGTAAGGAGTGAAGCACAGCATGACCTGTCTTATCTTTTCCGCATTATTTTGTGCATTCATTGTTCTGGCGAGATGCCAGTCGTTTAGTGGGGGTATGATTACTTCTTCCTTCCAGTTTGGTACTGTTGAAGTGTTGAGGCGCTAAAACCGGAGAAGTGTGTTTTCATCAGGATCTCAGCACTTTCTAAAAGGATGGAAGTTTCCACATTCCTTCGTTAATATGCCGATATGATGATGTGGGTCCTTTAAGAGTACTTTTTGTAGCCTAGAGGCCTGTGAGAAATTTCCTGGCAGGAGGTTCTCCAAGCAGCTCTTTGTCTTTGTCTGCAGACTTTCTTAAACTCCCTGAGATTTGATTTATAAGAATCCCAAAGTTAAGTTATGCAAAATCTATCAAATGCAAATAAAGTTGGAAAATTGAAGCCTTACAGTTTTAAGGACAATTTCAAAGCCTTAGAACAATTTTTGCAATAGTTTAATGGTTTTAAAATTT